TTTTTGGAAATAGGCTCATTTTACAACTCCCCCAGAGTTAAACAGTATAGTTTTACCGTTTTTGAATCCATTCAGCCAATTTTCTGATATTTAGAAGAATGTCAGTAACCAGACAGTTTCTGGTCTCATCGACTTCCGTAGTAGGAAAAAAAATATACTATGGAAGTCAATGAGACCAGAAACTGTCTGGTTACTGACATTCTTCTAAATATCAGAAAATCGGCTGAATGGATTCGAAAACGGTAAAACTCAACACTTTAACTCTGGGGGAGTTGTAAAATGAGCCTATTTCCAAAAAAAGTGGAGTATCCCTTTAAAGCTGCTCGTGAACCGATCATTTATAGCATCAAAAAAACATTAACATAAGAACGAATGTTGTTATAACCGCGGAAAGAGGTCCGTACACTCCATTTTTCAAGTTCAAATCCTCCAACGGACAAAAATGGCAGATTATGATTGGTCAGATCGCCTGTAAATCAAATTGTCAACTCTGGTTTAATCCAAAGTTTGCTCAAACTAATCTCGCAACATGACATCATGACTTTTGCGTAAACATACATGCCACTTTCGAGTCAAGTGGCGTGTTATCTTTACGCATTTAAAGCTATCCGCGTGTATCCACGTGTATGTCTACGCCATTAACGTCCGAGTGATTCCGCGTGTCTGTACACGCCGTCAAATGTCTGCGCGAAATGAAGCAAAATGTAGATCTACATCTGGGGAGCGATCTTTTTTTTTTTCATAGGATGGTAAGGGAACAGTCATAAATGCCATTAACCCCAGTGATGGTTAGATTTAGGGACGGGGTTGAGGCAAGTCATATATTTACATATACAGTAATAACGTTAAGTCAACGGCGTTCATAAACACGCTGAAAAGCGATTATGCATCTTGATAGCACGCCAAAAATGGACATACGAATTGGCGTGTCATACACACGCTACTTCATGAGATCAGTCTGAATCTCGAACTTACCTGGGTAGCAAGTGAAGCCAGCTTTGTGCAACACGCCACAGGTGTAAACGAAAATGTGTCTCCCTCGTCTGTTCGTGATTCGTTCAACCAAATCTCATCATAATACCAGGTGTAAACGGGGCCAAAGTGCTCACTTTAAGTGAATTTTGGTATTTTGATTGATTGGCTAATATTGCTTTTTTCCTTCACTAGTTTACATTGTTTGCAGAAAACTACACAAAATCGTGTGCTATCGCAAATAATGCAGGATTGGTTGAATTTGCATTCATTGCGACTGCGAAGTGTTGGCGGGCCTGAATGCGCTGGCGGTTCAGAAGCAGACTCTTGGCACACACTGTTTGTGTCTGAGCCAGACACAGCTGCTGGGGGTCAACGCTGATCACCTGCTCAGAATAACAATGATCTTAGTCCGCACACGTGCACACAAACACGCTCAAAACACTGAAACAATCTGCGCTGCAACACATACATAGCTTTGCTTTTATTTGAGTTTCTCGAAGTAATCTTCTCCTGAGAAGAGCTGGATATTTGCTGGCACAGCTTTTGTGCTGAATCAGCTGACCTCTGACCTCCATGTATCTACACAGGCACTCAAGATTCGTGGTCTGGTTTAAAATAAACACAGAATGAGACTTTGTTCACATTTGTTTTGCTAAAAGTCTAGCTGCAGCTTGTCTTTCCAACGTTTTGATTGGATGCAAAAGAGATGCAATGATTCTGTGAGTTGAGCTCTAAGCGCACGACCGTGTTCAGTGCGTTTGGCTGTTGTTGGTTGTACATGTAGAGTATGGCGAGCAGGACGGTGGCGTGATTGCTGATGAGAGACACCTGCGCGACGCACCGGTCTCGTATCTAAAGGAGGAGCGAGTTAAAATTTTATGTGCAAGTGGATGCTCTGGAACCCTGGACATTGACCATTTGTATTGACAGTAAAAAAATGACCTAGCACCTGTAGGGCTGGGTAATAAATATCGATTTCTCGATATTAATCGATTCTCATTTTGACGAACCGATATCAATTCTTAAATCTCAAGAATCGATTAGTCATCCTGTTTCATTTGAATGAATGGATCATTGTATGGCGGCTGCCCGCATCCGAAAAAAATCGCAATAATCTTTGTCCTTTGTTACTATTGATATGAAACAAAGTCTCAATTTTCAAATTATGTCAATTTTCTTTAGAAATTCAAAAACATAAATAAGGTTTTGGCGCTGTGGCGTGAGATCGCTCTGGAGAAGCAGCAGCGCTGATCTCTCTACCGGCTTAATAATACCAGTTACAGCGCCAAATAAACATGAATGAGCATCTGAAAGTGTGTTAAAGATAGAGGACAACTTATCCAAATCCGTATCATTATCAGCGTTTCAACCGTGGAAAGACGTCAGTTAAACAGCTTGTAATCAATGTCATGTATCGTCATATTTACCTCAGAAAACCCACATAAACTCGTTAGTCAGCTAGAAAAAAATAACTATTACATATGCATTATAATCTTAATGTTCTTCAATATTTAACGCATATTTGAATAAATCTGGCAAGTTTTTATGAACGCCACCATTTAAATGTTTATATTTCATATAATCTTCTCATTATAAAAATAAATAAGTGTAATTTAAGTGTTTGTATAGCTACAAAACAGTCCATTATTACCTTCATATTAGGCTAATGAAGTCTATAGGCTACAACTAGACTCCCATAGTTTACAGCATTTAAGAGATTTGATTCCCTTGAGAAAAATGGCCATTTATTGTAACTGACATCCAAAATAATCAATATTGAATCGAATCGTAATCGAAATCGAATCGAATTGCAAGCTTGTGAATCGAAATCGAATCGAATTGTGAAATTTGTCTCAATACCCAGCCCTAAGCACCTGGGTAAAAAAATATTAAAAACAGCCCAATAAAAGGACCCAACATGCTGAACCCAGCACCTGGGTTAAAAAACAAAACAAATAACACAGCATTTTTCTAGAGTGTGTGACACACGAGGACCACACCGAATGACAGTCAGTCTGAACTGAGGATCAACATTGTGATTCATGCGTCTTCACTCAGCTGAACATGTATTTAGTCACCGCTGGGTTATTGTTCCTAAGGGTTATTCAGTTTCTATTCACAAAGCTTTGTGATTCCACAACAAAAACACAATCCTTTAAGTTAAACATATTTCTGATTTATTCATTTGTAGCCTTCCTCTGGCTTATTAAAGCTATTTCTATTGGTTACATGCTGATATAATAAAACACAAGTGTTAAAGTCAAAGACATTTCCTTTCTACACATGTTGGCTGACTGAATGCAAAAAAAAAACAATGATCAGAAAGAAACACTGCATTGTTCGCCTATTTATTCCAGAGTTTTTGTACTGACTAGCACTAGTGCTTTCATTGTGCTAAAATTATGCTTTTTTGTGTGTTGTGTTATAAATCAAGAACACCAATGTCTTTACAGCAAAGTTGATCAAGTTCAACTTGTTTTAATGTAATTTTATTATTATCATATCTACATTTTATATGTACATTAATATATTTTTATAGTATTTATAATACTTAGTCATATGTTTTTATATTATTTATACTTTTATTTTTATCTTTTGTTTCAGTTGTTCAAGGAAATACTGTTAAAAGGACTTAAAAATAAATATAATAATAATCAAAGTGTGATGTTTCCAAAGTCAACTAGTAATTGTGTTGAATAACTGTGACCTAGACCGTTCTAATCATTATTCTGATTTTTGCCATGTTTGAGCGGCCCGTCTTCTGATTCTCGGGGTGAATAATGTGTATTTGTGCGCAGAAGTTGTGTGTGTTTATGCAGCCACACCTCTCGGCCGTAAACCCGGGACTTTTACAAACACGATTAGATCAGAAGTGCTGGATTCTGGTACACGACATTCCCTCTCGATGATGCTATAATTATCTTGACGAGTTAACCATTAAGTCACCGAGAGCTTATCTGATGAGTGTTTCTCTTCGAGAGCCTGTTATCACACGCGCAAATGGGTTTTATGTAGATTAGGCTTTTAAAGAGGGTTTTTCTAAAATCGTTAAGGGCTGAATATGTTTCCTGTCTTATCGAACGATCGTTTTGTGGTTTGGAGACTGGATTTCCCGAAACACTGAATGTTGTTGTTGGGAAGAGTCACGTTTGTTTGGCCGTCTCGGGGGTGTTGTGACCTCAGCGTGACCATGTCTAGATGTTGACCGTGGCCCCGGTGAGGAATGCGACCCCAACGGAGGCCATCTTGTGCGTGACACCGCACGCATTAGCCTTGCTGACTCACTCTCCCATGATGCCGAGCACTTCCTGTGCAACTGGGGTGAAGAACGACTGAGTTTTTAATCTTCAGTCACTTCTAAATTCATAATTTCTCTAACCTTTATTTATTTAGCACTAGTACAGTCAACCAAAAATAGGATAATGTTATGTTTGGTTAGTTCTTTAATAGTTTATTTGCATGGATGGAGTTAAATTATGTCCCTTTTTTGTCAACCCAATTTTTTGATTTTATAAAAAAAAAGAAAGTTTTATATTAATTAATTCAAAATACATTCAGAATGAAATTCATATCAGTGGCATAAATATACTGATGATCATATTGTTTTTATTACTGTATTAAATGTCAGATCATTTTTATGACAGGGCAAAGGTTAAGGTTGTAAAATGGCATGATTTTTGTAAAGGAATAATTCATGATATTTGAAGGAAAAATACGTTTTTGATTTTGTTACGTTTTTACGCTTATATATTATTTTTTTGAAAATTTTTATAAACCATTATATATTTTTTTACTTAATTTAAATACTTTGTTTATTTATTGTAGACACTATTATATCATTGCCTTAAATGTCATCAGACTCTTTCTCATCAAACCACATTTAAAGTTTGAACCGTTTTATTCACACTCTATTTGTCAACAAAAGTAGTAACGTCAGTGCTGTCTGATGTCTGAAGATCAGTGATTGTACACAGAATACACCCGTTTGTGCTCTAACAGCTGTGTGTGTGTTTGTGCTCTTCCAGGGATCTGTGTAAAGTGTGGTAAAGGTGTTTATGGAGCGAGTCAAGCGTGTCAGGCGATGGGGAACCTGTATCATACTAACTGCTTCACCTGCTGTTCCTGCGGTGAGTACACACACACACACACACACACACACACACACACTGTTGTGTTTTGTGTGTCTAAGCATGTTGTTTTGTGTCATTGGTATCAGCAGGGGTCCATTTGGTCTTTGATCCAGCAGTGACTGTACGGATCATTTTTAAAATGGAAGAGTTATGCATTTAATTTGAATTATGCATCGAATATGGAAGAATTATAATTTAATTAGAATTATGCAGCAAAAATAGAAGAATTATGATTTAATTAGTTATGTATCGAAATTGAAGAATTTTGCATTTAATTAGAATTATGCATCGAAAATAGAATAATTATAATTTAATTAGTTATGTATCGAAAATTGAAGAATTTTGCATTTAATTAGAATAATGCACCGAAAATAGAATAATTATGATTTAATTAGTTATGTATCGAAATTGAAGAATTTTGCATTTAATTAGAATTATGCACCGAAAATTGAAGAATTATGATTTAATTAGTTATGTATCGAAAATTGAAGAATTTTACATTTAATTAGAATAATGCAACGAAAATAGAATAATTATGGTTTAATTAGTTATGTATCGAAATTGAAGAATTTTGCATTTAATTAGAATAATGCACCGAAAATAGAATAATTATGATTTAATTAGTTATGTATCGAAATTGAAGAATTTTGCATTTAATTAGAATAATGCATCGAAAATAGAATAATTATGATTTAATTAGTGTATTGAAAATTGAAGAATCATGCATTTAATTAGAAATATGCACCGAAAATGAAAGACTTATGATTTCATTTAGTTATGTATTGAAAATTGCAGAATTATGCATTTAATTTGAATTGTGTATCAAAAATGTAAGAATTATGCATTGAAAATTAAATTAATTAAATCATAATTCTTCCATTTTAGAAAACGAAGAACTATGCATTTAATTAGAACTATGCATTGAAAGTTGAATAATTATGCAATAATTACAATAATACTTTCAAACTGCAATAATTATGCCTTTAATTAGAATTGTGCATCTAAAAATGTGTATTTTGTCATGCTTTGCAATCTAGTTTAGTTTGCCAATATGTCAAAGATCACACAAGCCACATGTAAAGACTCGCTCCTATAAATGTTGTCTAGTAGAATAATCGTGCATGTGCATTTGTGTGTATGAATGTGTTTGAGCATGTCACGTATGGCTGATCAGTGTGTGTGTGTGTGTGTGTGTGTGCGCCGCAGGGCAGGTCCTCTGTTCTCCGCTGAAATCACGGCGGTACTGTAGAGCACAGTTTTCTCTCTTTCATTCTCTCTTCCCCTCCGCACAGATACTGTTTCCTCACGCTTTACAGCGAGTGCAGATAATTTACACGTAATGCTAGCCGTCCGCTGTACATGTATTGTGTGCCGAAAGAAAGAGGGCCAGTAAACCGGATGCGCTGTGGTCTGGGAGGAACTGGAAGCCTCTTTTAAAAGCATAATGGCTTCTTGAAGTTCACAGGAACCTCTTAGCGTGACGTTGGAGTGTGTTTGTGGATGTTTGGATTATCTGTGATGAATAAGCTGTTGTGGTCGATCTGTAGTGCTTCAGTGTAATCAAGAGCCACTGTGATGTTTAAAGAGTGAAGAAGATGCAACATAAACCATGTGTTGCTTTAGAGGTTTGAAAAGGCTGTTGCAGTGAAGGATGTTTTCTGTTATGATTGTGAAGTGGACCGAGGTGGGCGGGTACAGTGTGACTAAAATCTTAAATAGTTGTGCAAGTGATTTTATGTCATAGTTATTTTTGGTTAAAGATCAACCCAACAATGTTTTAACCATCCATTCATCCATCCAACCATCTCTAACCATCCACCCATCCATCCAATCAACCATCCAACCATCCATCCATCTAACCATCCATCCATCCTATCAACCATCCAACCATCCATCCATCTAACCATCCATCCAAACATCAGTCCAACCATCCATTCACACATCCATCCATCCATCCATCCATCAGTTATATCTGGCCGTTTTGTGCTTCTTTATATAATTTAGCTTTTCCGGATATCCAGAACTGCACCCGCCCCGGTGCAGTTTATCATATATTCCTCCATCTCTTTCTTTCTCTCAGTGTGTCTCGTCTCGCTGTATCACATAACCTGTTCTCATAAACACACACTCACAGCATCTCAAACACACTGTAACAGTTTTAAAGGTGAGTGTATGTGCTCTGTGAGCATGTGTTTGAACTGCATTCATGTCCCTCCACACACACGAGTCATTCTGAACCGCATGTTTCATTCCGATGATTCATTTGAACTGATTCACTGACTTAAGTGGGTTTCCATGGTCCACTTTGTGCTCTGGTAGTCAGAACAGATGTTTGTCTTTCCTGTAAAGCACATAAAATGGCCATTAAATTAGCATAGATGATGCAGACAGTATATATACAGTGTGTATAAACTATATATAGCGAGAGAGGTCGCAGAAGAACATGTGTGTGACCAGCAGGTCTGCACATGCCGTGAACCGCAGACTAAAATTCCCCTCTTTACACTAATACACACACTCTCTTCAATCTGGATGTGAATTCCCAAACGTGTACATGCACTCTTTGAGTGACTCATCACCTCCAGTATCCCATCATGCACTGGGGCAAACCCACCTGCAGATGATAAAGAACTGCTTGTTCTCTCGCTGTGTGTACGTGTGTGTGTGTGTGTTCTTGCAGCATCAGGAAACATAGTTATGCTTTGTTCTTCTCACAGCATCTACCGACTTATTGTTCAATCTATCATTTAATCTATCGTTGTGTCCATCCATCTATCCAGTCTAAAATTAGTCTCTTCTGCTCAACAAGGCTGCATTTATTTGATCAAAAATACAGTAAAAACAATGTTGAAAACATTTGTGCTGCTTCATATTAAACCTTGATTTTATTAATAGAAAGTTCAAAAGAACAGCATATGAGAAATATAATCTTTTGTAACATTATAAACGTCGTTGCTGTCACTTTTGATCAATTTAATGCACCCATGCTGAATAAAAGTCAAAAAATTATTTCCTAATTGTCTCCTATTTCTATCTAATGTTTCGTTTTACATGATGTGTTTGTATATTTATTATTCTGCTGGACATCTATTTTCTCTGTTTAAGTGTTTTTAGGGCTGCACTCAGTGTTTTGAATCTTTGATTGTTCAAGAGAGATTTCCCAGCAGTCCTCAGCAGCTGTGTGCTGTTTTAATGACATGGTTTTATAACACTTTAGATGTGGTCTGTGTGTGCAAGCTGTCAGTGTGAAAATCATATAACCCTTTGAACGCTTTGGCAAAATGTCAGTCACTCAGATGGTTGTCTAATAGGAGATCACAGGTGTTTATTTTCTTGTATATGCCCTGAGGTTCATTATATGATCCTACTTTTCACTGAGGGATTATGTACTTCAATCAGAGTTAATGCCACCAGGGCCGTGCAGAGACCTCTGGAGGGGCAGGTGCTCAAAGTATAAAATGGGGCACATGGAAACAAGGCTTTATAGGGCTGTGCTCAAAATATCAATACAGTAATATATCAATACAGATGATTCTGCATCGATACAGCAGCAAATGCATTGATGCAGTTTTGAAAAAGAAACAGAACAGAAAAGACAATTTTAAAGTTTAAAATTTTAAAAAAATAATTTATATATTTATATATAACTCTGGGATTAGAAACTGAAGCATCTTAAGTTGCCCCAACCTGATGGCTTTTTCTTCTCTGTTATACAGAATAATAAAGAACAGCTGTTATAGTGAACTGTATAGGACAAAATCAACCTGGCCCAAGTTTCGTGCAGTACAGTATAGTTTTATTTAATGGCATATCAGCATCTGTGGCTATTTTCATGGCAAAAAGTGATTTACAAAAATACAAGAGTTACATTTTATACAATGAAAATAAAAACAAAGCAAACAGAAACAGCAATTAATACTTTACAAGATTTTTAACATTAATGTGATGCCTGTTCTGGTAAATTCTTACTCAAGTCATTAAGTGAGTTTGCTGCCTTTGCTGTTGATGTTGTTACTGCTGCTGCTGATACTGCTGGAGTTGATCTGAGACTGTAGACATTAAAAATAAACAGAAATATAGGTTATTAGCTGATTAAACCATTTTTATGTGACCATGACAAGATGTAAAGATTGCTGACAGTGTTTGGAACTGGCTCACTAGTCCACTGACCTGCTAAAGCTACAGATTCTACCCAGGCTGCTATAGTATAATAATACAATAATAGTATATAATAGTAACGTTACTAGGGCAGATGTTCACAGAGCCTTCTGCACACAAATCATAAGATACTAACTGGTAAGCCTATGTGATAACTTACCAGAGTTGTGATAATATTTTTTATGTGAAAATAATTTTTTTAATAAATACTGTAATAATATTAATAGTTTAAAGTACAAATAATAGTTTTTAGTCAAATAACACCCCTCCACGCCCGTGAAAGTTTTCTCCCTCAAACAGCAAGCTAACGTTACTTCTACAGCCTAGTACACACAGCAATACAAACAAGATTTCTCTGCATGCTCTCTTCACGTCGTTCTAGTAAAATAATAATAATAAGTAAACAAACATCAAAATCACTTCGCTGAGAATAGAACACAACTTACCAGCAGCCGCAAGAGTTGAAGCTATCCTCTGGGAATGCGCGATTGCGCGTAGCCGCGCGAAATTAAAAAATGCGCGTGCAGCGTGAGGAATCAGGTGAAAGGTCATCATGTGGGTCATTTTATTTACAGCTAAATTATTATTCATTCATTTTACTACTAGTTAGATGGGGCAGGCATCCACAAAAGTGCCTTTAAATACAAAAAAAAAAGGAGAGGAAATTTTGTCTTGACAAAAGGGCACTTTGGGCACCAAGGGGCAAAAGGGCAGGTGCTCGAGCACCCAACGCCCCCCCCTCTGCACGTGCCTGAATGCCACATTTAATTTGTCATGAAGTTAGTTGTCATAAGTGCAGTCCATTAGGTTGTGCATCTTGCTGTCCATCAATTATCTGA